TCAATAAGCAATCCTGAAAAATATTTGGGGGTGCTTAACTTTTTTCCAGGTGTATATTTTAAAGTTATAGTTTCAAAAGTCGAAAGCTGACGAAGCATAAGAAAGCAATAGGCCTACAACTTCTAATAAACTTTATATCGAAATTTTTAATTAATCTGTCTCTCCTTATGGTCTAAGATTAACTTCAGAAGATGTAATTATCTGTATAATACGTTATACTTCTGTTTATGATAAACGTTTTTCCAAACACTACCAATTATCGACAGTGTTGTTATTTCGGCACAAAGCTACACAATGAGCTATCTGCACAATGTCCAGTTCGGGGAATCGAGCTCCGGGTTTTAGGTTTTGTAGAGGTTTAATTATTGCCACGTTAAAAGTGCTTGTACAAACATTTCACGTGCATTTATGTGTTACTGACGGTATCGGTTTTAAAGTTATCTCAACTTATCTGTAGTTTTAAATGTACTTAAACATGTACTCGTTCATTTGTTTTTAATACATTACTGCCCACTTAGCTAATATATACACACAAATCCTGTACGCATGGGTTAATTACAACTGTATTAAATAGTAATGTTTATAAAATACCAACTATTACACGTACTTCCCACTTGTACCCGACATCCTCTTGTGGCTGTTTTCACAGTTACAATTCAGCGCGTGTAGCGTTGTTTTATTTATTTTTTACTCGACTGAGTTTCATCAGTTTTCTTTATCTGCGTCTAACTGTGCCAACATTCACACCAGAACAAGCTTGTGTTGTGACTAAACTATTAATAATGTGACCCTCTTTTAAATAGGTCGTTCCGTACACCAAAGTTTCCTTTAATATGGGCTAGGCCACCGGTAAGTTTACGAATCCGAGGTTCGGTTCCCCGCGATTTTGTTCTAACACAAACAATATATAGGCTATCTCGTACACCAACCAGTTATTATGGGATATCTATGTTTCCACCAGAATATTTTGTACGTACTATAATATATTAACATTGAAACTCTGGGGGGTCGCTTCTTTCCGTAGTGTATAATTCCCCCAGAACCGCAAAGGCACATGATTGGCTGTCAATAAAAATACCCATTTGTGGTTATGATCTTATTGGATGACCGGATAATACGGGAATTGAATTTTCCTTACACTGTCGCTCTTGTTTGAAGTGCACGTGACCCCATACGAGTAACATTACACAGGCATAAGTTGCTATGGGCTAAGGGGGCAGCTGCCTCCCAGATTTTGCAGGATATCATACAAACGAATAATGTACATTTCAAAGGTCATTCTTTTCTAATACGACCCAGAAATGCGGATAGTTGTTATGAGATACCGCGCATGCTCAGAGTCTACGGGTCGTCAAGCATTCATCTGTTTGATTGATACGTCATAGCTGTTTGTCGATAATACAAATACAAACATCACATTCAGTAATATTACACTCGGATATCATGAGCTAAAGGAAAATTTGGAGCATGCTTGGGAAAGCAGGTAGAAAATGAAAGAAATTAAACGATAAAGTTAACATAAAGGAAATGCCTTGGAACTATCAACACAACCTTGGAATATTAGAAAGGCAGAATTGCTAGCCCTGTTTGTTTGAAGGACATCCTGAGTTCAAATCCCAGTCAATTGCTAGGCCTACTTGAAGGGTACTGTCAGTTCAAACCCTAGTCAATTGCTAGGCCTACTTGAAGGTTACTGTCAGTTCAAACCCTAGTCAATTGCTAGGCCTACTTGAAGGGTACTGTCAGTTCAAACCCTAGTCAATTGCTAGTCCTACTTGAAGGGTACTATCAGTTCAAACCCTAGTCAATTGCTAGTCCTACTAGAAGGGCACCCGAGTTCAAACCCTAGTCAATTGCTAGCCCTACTTGAAGGGATTAAGTCCTAGTCAAGATTACACTTTTACTTTTTGTTTTGTGAAAATTAATATTTACATATCTTTAATTATTACAGCTGTTTGTATAAATGATTTAACTCAAGCCAATAAAATCCTTTCATTTTGTAAGAATATATATAAAACTAGAAAGATGATAAGTATACCTTTTTTCCCCCAGAGTTTAGTAAGTATAGGAAAATTTTAATGGTTCAATCTAGAAATCTAATATCATGTGATACAGTATAAAACACGGATTTAACTATCTTTACATTTCAATAACACATAATATCACTAAACCTACATAAAATATTCTTGAATAAAAGCTATTTACAATGTCTAGAAGTTTACGAGTTATTGTACCACCAACAATGAAACCCTGGACATTCTTTTATCAGAGAGAAGTAAAATAACATGCAAGTGTACATTTATTTTTGATCTTAAAAAAAAACACGGGAGATGTATTAAATACGTCCAAGCAGGAGGGAAGTTTGTTTGTTTGTTTGTTTTGAATTTCGCGCAAAGCAACACGAGGGCTATCTGCGCTAGCCGTCCCTAATTTAG